AGCAGCCAAGCGAGCCATAACACGGACGGAAAAGCTGCCAGCGAGCTGAGTGGAAGAGGGTGTAGAATGGTGTGTATGCTGTCTGCGTAAGCGGACACTTCTGCTTTTGTTTTCCGTACCTGATCCAGTCGCCTACTGCGATGATCCAATAGCATGTCGCTGGAGAGAGCTCGCCTTTGCTGGCTGGCGGCATGGGCACCTTGCGCTTGCTCAAGCATGCATGAAAGGAAAACGGCCTGCATGATACATACATGCCTGAGACAAACGTATCGGTGTGCAACGACATACATGATGGATACCATTCCAGGCTTGGCATTTTAGCCTCTCCCAGCACAGGTGGCAGACCCAATAAGAGAGCGAATCCCAGGAGGAACAGCAGAAAGCTGCACACACGCATCTCCATCTGTGACCATGCAGAGTATCTTATCTATTATGGTAACCACATAATCCCGACAGAGGAGAGGATCACCACACTGCTTAGCGTCAGCCTCTCCGCGCTGGCTGCTGTCGAAGGAACGTCTTGGCGCAGCATCGTGGAATTGGTCAGCAGCTGGCTCCCCTCTTCTGCTTCCTTCGTGGAATTGAGGAGCACGTTTCTGTGCGACGACTTCTGACAAAACACATTTTACGATATGGACAGTATAACGTGTGCGTGCAGTCGTACATACACAATGCATTGATGAGGAACACTTCCTGAGCGAGTTTACAAATCTCCGTACCTGCTGCTGCGCCATTGCTTCGGTACCAGTACTGTTGCCTTCCACGTGCCAGGCGGGGGGCAGCTTGCCCTGCAGCAGATCCATCACCTGAATGTCGGGACGCATGCACGGATGAATTTACACACCGCACACATGGTCTTACATCCCGCGTGTGGCTCTGGCCAGGGGGGACCACTGGCATCGGAGCCTCAGGAGACGCAGAGGGGAGCCCTGTACAGGCCACAAGTACATGTATATGTTCTGTTGCAGCCGCTGTTCCCTTTACCCCCCGTTCCGGTGATAGCGGTGAAAATGATTAGGTCAAGTAGGGCATAGGATATCAGGTGCTTCAAAGATTCACCCACGGCTGCACGACGTGCAGACGACGGGAGGGACCCTGGAAAGTCAGTGCACACATATGCATATAGGTACATACACGAATCTTTGCATCTACGCCTACCCTCAGGCATGTCAATGAAGTTAAATCCGACGAATATCGGGAAGCCGCTGGCCGCGAAAAATGAGTGCACCGTGGACAGCAAGATTAAGCACATCAAAAGCAAATACGCCGGAAGAGAGGAGCTGGCTGTGGTGCTGCTGCCATAGAGGAAGTGCAAGCCCACGGCCGCGCTCGCCATCATTAAGAGGGATAGCGCCTGAGTAGCACACATAAAAGCATCCAGACATTTACTTGCGTCGATGTTACCTGCCCCACAAGCCCAGCGCAGAATAGCTTTTTGACTTGGACTCGCCTACTGGCAACGGCCCAACCGAGAGCAGACACACCTGACGTACGCAACACACTCGTATGAGCTCCTACTCCTTCTCTCCTGCAAACTCACCGTAGCAGAGTGCCCAGACAGAGAAAAGCACGGAGGGCAGCCAGCCATTGTGGAGAAAAGCATATGACTGAGGGGTGGACGATGTGAGTGCTGCAGGAAAGGTGTATGGAGAGAGGGACAAGGCCAATGCAAATATGATGTGGCCAGAGGCAGGCGCCAAACAGTAGCCCACAAGTATCAACCAATTCCTGTACCAACATGGATAAAAAAGAGTGTATCACGCGTGTGTGCATGTGTATGGATGCAGCGAGCCTACCGTACAGCCACCTCTCCTCCGAATGCCTGCCATGCCATCAGCTGCACCAGTGACTGACGTATGCTATGAGGGAAGGAACGGTCGATACTTGAGTGGTGCATGTCCTCTTCTCGGTGCTTGTTGTCTGCACACATTCAATTGTGCATTGTGCACGCACCGGGGATACAGGATGCGATGTAGATCCGCCCATTGTATGCTCTCACCTCCCTCCGGGATGTCTCCCTGCGAGCCACAATGCGGAGTACCGAAGCCGAATTGGTACAATGCATGTGCCTGCTTGACTACAGACGCCATGGTGACCTGCTTGTGCTTGTGGTGGCTGGGGCCGGGGGTGTTCTCCACAGACGTACCGTCATCTGACACGTTATCAAAGGGAAGGCACTTAACCTCTGACAACCTCACCGGGCCTTAACCTCACCTTGCCTTTTCTTCTGCCCCAGCATGGCGACCAGCCACGAAACGCTGCCCCTATCCCTCGTCTGCACTGGCGTATCAGGAGGCCCAGGCGCAGGGGATGCGACACCGCTATCGGGGGGGTCGGGGCCTTCTACCTCGGCCTCAGTGGCGGACGTGCTCTGCCTGCTCTTGGATGGCTGCATCTGCTCCAAGTGCTGAACCAACAGGTCATCTGTGACCCCCTCAGCGAATATCATCTCTTCCAGGTCCAGATCCGATTTGATGTCGTCAAGCTCACAGGGAATAGGGCACGAGCTAGGTCGGCATGTGTCGGCGGCTTCTTCAAACATCGGGTTTGCGATCGCCTGAGACACAGTATACATGCAATGTTCGTAACTGTGCCGCCTGCATTCTCACAGTTACAGGTGCGTCGTCCGCTGGAAAAGGAGTATTGACGACTGAATTGTCTCGATGAGCACAAATTGCAGACCTGACACACCATACGAAGGCGTGGTGCTACGTACAAAGGGATTAAACATACGCTCACTTGTACAGTCCGGCAAGCTGGTGCTGCCAGGGGCATAAAGGGAATGACGTGCTCACCGCCTCCTCAGCCATCTTCGATAGCTCGCTGTCAGACGCCGACATGGCTCGACGAATCGACGCTAACACACAAAATGAAGTGATGTACACCTACACCTTTACGTGATGTGCACATACGCACCCTGAAGGCCCGCTCTCATGTCTGTATCGTCGACCACATCGCCCGTCTGGTCGCGAGCGGGAAAGTAGAAACCGGGTACCTTACCTGTCACGACATACATTCAAAACAGCGCACACGCGCTTCCATCCGGCAACATGCAGACTACCGAGTCCTCCGACGAGCGAGGCGACCGCTACGCTGCCATGCCATGCGAACTCGACATCGACGTAGCTACAAAGACAGACGAGCTCACGCACACATTTACATCTGTGTGTTGCGTACCCGAAAGGCTCGCTCCGTGACGGCATGATACAAAAGTCAGTGGCCCACTGCAGTGATGGAGGAGGCCGGAGAAAGTGAGCAGCCACATACAGACGACCTTCGAACGCACCGGATGACTGCGGAAACGCACCATTGTGCACAGATACATCCTCATACACCCGCTCTCACCTTCAGTCTTTCCAGCTTCCTGCGGGCGTATTCCCCGTATGCGTCGCCCACCGGCCCGATGCACACCAGCTGGGACAAGGGAAATGTATGCAGCATCCACCGAGCTACATCAGCTATTAGATCGATGCCCTTCTGGTGCACCCAGCGACCCACAAACACCCAGACTTTTGCTCGAGGATTCACTACAAGGCCTACATTAAAGATACCCAAGAGCGTGGTGTGTGTGTTTAGTGTAGGCTGGACACACATGATCGATCGGTTACTAGATACCTAGTTCTCTCTGCGCCAGCTCTTTGTTCTCGGCCTTCAGGACCATCAAGCGTACGCGTGAGGAGCGGCGGTCGTCAGTAGTCCATACGGGCCGCTCCTGAGACAAGGCTCACTCGCGAATGGATGCGTGTGCAGTGTACTTGCATCTGTACCGATTCTGGAACAGGGTTCGGAATAGCATCCACTCTTGCGAGCTGCTTTCGGAAAAGCGACATCGTTGCCCAGCTACGTACACACAAACGTACGCGAAGGTAGGTACATTCAAACGCATATGTACGTGGGTGTTGCTGTGTGCAGACGTACAGCTCATGTGCGTAAGGTGCCGATACGGCCGACACGCCAACCCCCCCTTGGTAGCGGCAGCAGTAACGAACGAGAGCGGACAGCATATTGAAATGACCTGTCCATAGAGATCCGTAGATACGCATATGCATGTATCATGAGGTGTGTCTGTACCATCGTGTACAGCGTATGTTTGTATGATCTTCTTTGGGAGCGCGAACATTGACGCCAAGCGATCTAACGCCTTGCTATTGGCCTGCTGAAAGATCTGTGCACACGTTGAAGCAGAGTGTTTACACATGAGTGCCTGCGTTCGTACGTGTATACCTCTCCCTGGTACTCGGCGTTATGTAGCACGACCATACAGGGCACTCTGCCGATGGGACGGCAGTAGAGAGGGGCTAAACCTGGACAGAAGCATTGATGTGTGGCGAAATAGACCTGTGCGATAGGCATGTGCGTGTGCATACGTGTGTACCGCTGTGATAGTCTGGGCAATGAAAGATGTCACAGAGTTCGCTCTCAGGAGGCAGAGGGATCACATTGTCTTGATGTAGCTGTTGAGAAGGCAAATGTGAATGTGAAACAAGTAAACGTACACAACATACGACGATGTTAAGAGCAACTGACCTCCCTGTCTTTGTCCTTCCCGTCGCCTTTCACGTAGACCTGAGCACGTTCACACAGTACTGGTCCCACACGTTCACACAGGATGGGTTGCGGCCACCTGCATGATTGCGCCCACACATTGGTTCCACATGGAGAAGAACGTCAGAGCCCCGCGGGATGACAGACCATTAGGGTACACTGCACCCTTCCTGCATACATGCTATGTGCAGACCCTCACATGCGCATGACGCTGCGGGCCAATACGCACTTGCACATGGCCGAGAAGATGGGGTGCTCGCATCGTAGATAAATAACGTGTGTGCCTGTGGGCACACATAGATCGCCCAGGCACAGCAGGCATCACGCTACTTGTGCAAATACCGGGTGTACTGTGACTCTCGGCGAGGCTCTCTCTGCGACAAGACCGTATACATAGACACTCAGTGCGTACACACTCATGTACCTATCTGTCGCGGGGTCGCTGCTGTTTGAGCTACCACGATGAGCATCCAGGTCCAGACCTGCATCAGACCAATACACGTGCAAACAAGCACCCTCCTCGTATGATGTATAGAGATGTACCAGGTCGCACGCTGGCATCGCCAGTTGTGCACGTGTTTTCGTAGCGCCATATCTTTATCATGTACTGATTATCTGTATCCGTGCGTGGATTCACAGAGAAGATGTGCATACGTTCGTACCCTCTACAGTGACTTTGACTGTCGGGCAGTATGGATCGAGTCGCCAGTCTGGGCCATATTCAACACCGCCGGCAGACGGGAAAACAAACACCATATCACCTGCAAATTGAGTCGTGCATGACTTGATACACTCACATATATATTATGTCTGTGTGCTCAGGGAGTTGCGTACCAGGATGATGTCTGAGCATGATGCCGATGACCTTTCCGAGTCCACCGGCATTGACAGAGACGCCCTTGTCGGGGATTTGGTGTTCTGCGTATGTATGTGTGTGTGCCATGTGCATGTCTACGTATGCGTATGTGTTAATATGAGAATATGATACAGTGCATATGCTCTATACTGACCTATGCCGCTGATGAATATATTGTAGCGAGTGACTGGCGGCGGAAGCGAAGACGGACGAGCAGCTGACAGCATCCAGAAAACACCCAAAGATGTGAAATCCATAGAGATACGTAGGGTCTCTCGGTTCACATCTCTCGACAGGGCCGGACACGACAACGACGTTTGCCATTCTGCGGCAGTGGGCGACAAGCAAGACCACCATGGGGATCAGCAGGTGGAAACAGAAGCTGCCAGTGAGAAAAATTCACATGTTGAAAATTTTCACATGCTGCCGTTCAGGCACACATGCAGATATATCAATCGCTCACAGCGTCATGACTCCTGTGTTGGACATGACGCTGGTCGACAAGTAGGCAGCAGACGTGTGCAGAATTACAGCCGACTCCTCGGGCACAGTCATGTCTGTGTAAACCCACATAGGTGTTAGTGAGGGTGGGCGTCTTTCCGTGTCGCACCTTTGATCCGTCCCTGCACGTCGACATAGACAAGCGCGTAGGCCTTTCCGCAGCCGCGGGAGCCCCAACGAGCTAGCGCCAGATTGCAGTACACTCCCTGTTCACAAGACAGATATATGCGTAGATATAATGTAGATACGTGATTATGCTGGTATGTGTGCGTACGCACTGGTGGAAGCTGGGTATCGAAGTTGTAGCGCATTGCCGCTTCCTGCCCGAAATTGACCACTAGCCACCTGAACACCATGTTCATACGTTCTCACGAATACCCCGCATGTGTACTCTGGATGATAACGAACCCCTTGTTCCACGGCGGCTGGTCATTGCCGCGACCAAATGACAGAAGGTTCTGTGCGGACATGTATCCATGTAGAGGTATGTACTGATGGATACGTGTGTGCAAACCTTTTCAACGCCGGGCCTCCCGTGTTTCGGATGCAGAGGCATGTACTGGTTCACGTTGTGCAACGACACATGGTCCCTAAGCTCGGCACGCCAACCTACATGTGTGAAGACGGAGACGTACACGGCCATTGTCATATGTAGAGACACACAAAGAATGTAAGCATATACCTGCCATGTTCCCGATCATGGGTAGCTTGTGCTCGCAGTTGAAGTGAAGCCCATCGTCGTGAAAAGTAGGTGTCATGTCCCAGCCACGCAAACGAGAACTAACACACAGTCCAGGCACGTGAATCAGCCATGTCTTAATGTGAAGCAAACCGTATGTCCTGCCACTTGAGTGGATTGCCCCCGGTGTCGATTTCATCATAATCCATGCAGGTGACCCTCTGTGTACCGCCCACATCAGTCCTGTAGACACATACAATACAAATGCTCAGCACCACATTTGTATTCGATGCGCACCTGGGTGGTCCGACCCAGCCATGCGTCTCTTCTATGCGCCCATCTGGTAGGCGAATATATTGGCGGGACCACTCGTAGGAAGACAGCACTCTGTGTTCGAAGGCATGTACACCCCGTGTATGTGAAGTGGATTCTCCGTGTACGTCAGTGTGCGCACCGTGGTGTGCCGTAGGGCATAGCAAGAGTGAAGACATTAGCGAGGGCCCACAGATTGGGGTGATTGTAGCTTGTAAGCGCGTCAAGCTGAGCGTATGTACTTGACCTGTCTGCATCCACTCTCCGTGTACAAGCATCGGTACACCCACCTCACATGCGTCCAGAAGCGTGATATTTTCATGCTTTTTCCGCTGAATTTGCGAATCGCCGAAATCTGCGTATGCACGAATACATGTCAGGGCACGCGTACACGTGTATATTTGCATGGCTGAGCCGATACACCTGTGTCAGCTGATTCTCTGAGTGTCATTTTCGACAGCCTAGTTGATGAAAGGTCAGAGAAAGCGATGCCTGAACGTGCATAGCTGAGAACGCACGCGTTTGAGACTCATGTGCGTGTCTACCCAGGTGTATTCGGCTGGATATTTCTGGACTGGCACTGGCCTTGCCTAGCCGAAGCTGCACGCATACACATACCCGTAATTCTGCATACGTGTGCATATTGTGTGGCTTCACCATACGTACGGATCACGCAATATGCCATACCTCGGCGTTCGGCAACTTGCACGCGATTGGTGGCCTATGCATGAACTGGAGTCTCTCGTTGTCATGGTTTGTCACGAAAAGCAAAGCACTGTCGTACGCCAGGAAGTTCGCACGACCTGCATCGCTCACGTCGAGGGCATGAATGGAATGAATACAGGAGAATGATCGTATGTCTGTGTGGGCGTATGCGCACGGACCGGAGAAAGGGAGCATGGCTGGCGGCGACAAGTACTGTGGCAGATACTTCAGTGGTGGGCACTCCGACGGATGCTGGCCCTGTGTGTAGCGTCGTCGTACAAATATTATTAACAGAGGTTCAGTGTGTATATGGGTGTGTATGCAAACCTGTGCCAACCGGGTCCTATGACACAGTGTCAGCCCCGTAATGCGCTCACTCCAGTCGAAGAAGGTCACTTGACCCAGACGCGAATAGTCAGTATAACGGAGACCGGCCTAATGTATACGGTCACAGACAAATGAGGACGCCTCACACATGTGTGCGCACCTTCGGCCGTGGATCTGACACTTCTAGCAGCAGCCTTGGTCGCGCCTTGTCGGTGCATGGGGGAAATGACACCCCAGCCGAGGTACGTGCCACAATGTCGGCTGTCGTGCATGTGCCAGTGGAACGGATCCCTACATGTTTTTACGTCTTTGAATGGGCATACCTCTGACCACTGGTGCTTTTAGTGTGCAGTCATTGAGACCGAAGAGCTCTTCCAAATCTTCATCCCACATGTGCTTGGCTGAAACACAGTCAGACGCAGACGTGCGTTTGCAAAATATATACACACACGTACGGACCTGCGTCAACACGGAAGCCGCTGATACCGAGCTCAAGCAGTTCTCGAATGACCCTGCGTTGCAGCGATCGCACCTGCACGCAAGATCTGAAATTGTGACGTGCTAAATGTACACACATGCGTCAGTGTACATTGGGAGAGGCGGTCTTCAGGTCCGGAAGCCCCAACAGGCTGACACAGCATCGCACCAGAAACGTTGTGTCCTCGCATCCAATTGCGCGCGTGCAACAATTGCCTGCAGTCTTTGATCTTGACGGGATCGATGTCACTCGGAGGAATGTAGTCCATGCTGTGTGTTTACAGACGTGCACACACAGCTGTGTGCGCGCGCAGCCATACACACGTATGTCATGCAGCAAAATACGAACCTGCAGTCATGAAAGTCGTTTCCGGTCAGATTGAGGTCAGGATAAGACAGCAAAGGGGAGCATGTCCGGGCCTGTACACACACGGCAGAATACATGTGAAAAATACGCATCTGCATATGCCCGCGCCTTCGGATCGTATATCTTCTGTTCCGGCCTGCATGGGACAATCCGGAAATGATCGGCAGCATCCGTATCGCAACATTGAAACGCTGCCAGGTTGTTCAGCACAACGTCAGCTATTATCTGCAAGTATACACAAGTGTACGTACACTTGTACGCAGCCACATGTATGTGTACCTGAATGCCCACATCAGCGCACTTCTCTACAGCCCTTCTGAGCGCCTCCACATCGCCACTCCGGGACGTGAGATTGTAAGATATTGGCTGGTACCTTTCCCACCTACAGACATGCAAGAAACAAGAACACACACGTACCATGCATAAGTCTGACAACTACATCAGATACCATGGGTAGCTGATGGTCTCGCCAGTGGCCGACGCGATTCCCTCGAGAGGCGGCAACGAGCGATGACTGTGCACCGGAGACACCTGAACAGGTAATAGTGGGACACGTCTTCGAAGAGAAGACTATTACCTGGACGGCCTTCCACCCATCTGTGGCAAGCCCAGGGCACTCGGTGGCTATGTCGTCATAGGGCCACTCAAACAGTTGCAGCACAGCCCCTTCCCAGTAACAAAAGACAGGAAAGACACATACGTGAAACAGCACCAATTGTAAGAGCAGCAACAGGGCCTCCATGTTCTTCTTAGACGAACCCGTATGGAAAAAACAGGGAATCGGGAAAAGACGGTTTATTTCCATTTATTTCTGATGTTCTCAGCTGCATCTTTCCTCTCGACTCAAACGAAGTCTTGTCATTTGCATGGTCTCTCTGCCTGAAGTAGCCCATCACGTGTCGTTGCCCGCCATGTCTTTTCTTTTGCGTGTGCATGGTTACGCGTGTGGTTATACTTCGGCGTGCCTCTATGCATTGAGACCAGACTCTTGTCATTCATGCATCGATGCTGCCTCCTGTCCGTGTGTGGGACCCTTCTTGCCTCTCTCTGTCTTGCTTGCTTCCCCTGCCTTCCCCCTGCCTTCCCCCTGCCTTTCATGTCCTCGTGCTCGAGTGCTTGGTGGTAGGGGTGAAGCGGCTGGTGATGTCTTGTCATTGGTGTGGTCTCTTCTGTGCGGTAGCCTATCACGTGTGGTCGCTGCGCCACCATGCCCTTTCTTTTGTGTGTGTATGCATAATGCCACGCGTGTGGTTAGACTTCGGCGTGCCTCTCTGTTGCGACCATACTCATGCCATTTCAGCCAGTGCCGCATGTCTGTCTGTGTCTTTATCACCGCGGCGGGGCTCCCTACTCTAGCTGCTGTCAGTGAGGCTTGGCGGGTCATGACGCCGACGCGGGGGACGCCCCGCTAGGCGTCATGATGCATGCATGGCGCCAAGCCTTGACACTGCCTTCTGTCTTCCTCTGCCAGCCCAGCCAGGACTCCCTCTGCATGTGACTGCCACTGCCTATCGACTTAGATCACACCGTGCTGCCCACTGATCCACTACTATACATGCTGGCCGCTAACTCTGTGGAGTGTGTCACGAAGGGAACGATATAATGGACAACATGCAAAGATATGAGACTCAGTGCTGTGTGAAGGGATGGAGCGCACCTTAGGTATCGTCTATCATATGTTGCAGGGCCTCATGGCCTGACTGGCTGTTTCCTTCTCTCTCCCTTTGCTATCTTCCTGGCTTCCTTGCAGATGGGTCCCGTGTGTATATGGTGGTGTACTCATGTGATTGGCTGCTTGTTGCTTTGGTGGCTCAGAGGGCGCTCATTTTTCTACTTCCCCCTTCTGGCTTCGGTACACTTGCCATGGCTCTTGCTGGGCGACAGCGCTCGTTCTTGTGTATGTAGCCGGAATCGGTGTTTGTCAACGCTCTATAAGGCAGCCAGTGCTCTCTGTTGCCATCTGCTTGTCCGCCGGTGCTAGTGTAGGGAGGGGTAGACAGGCCGTGTGCATGCTTTGCATGTACATGCTGCTAGTTTAGTGCGTGAGACGACAGGATCCCTCCGGGGTTACAGACACGAGTCTCGTTAAACACAATAACCAACCAACCAAACGTGAAGCACGAAGACTTTTTGACGCATTGCGTGTCTGTAGTAGTGCAAGCAACACGATCGGGGTCTTTGCATCAGTGTCGGTAGCTCCTGAGGAGGTATTTGCTTGCTTTCACTCTGACGGTTGCCAACTCTATTGACATTGCTAAGGTGATTCACAATTGGTGATTAATCAATTGAATCACTTGGATCACTTATGGATGAATCATATAAACAATTCTATAATGTGAATCGGACGAAGGTCGATGATGAAGGGCGACACAAAGTGTCTGGCCGGCTGGGAGGTCGGCTGGAGGTCACTTTCTTCTGGAGGAGGTATGCCAGAAGTTCACAAATGGGGGGAGCGGTATGCAGGTATACCGAGTCAGGATTTGCCACAGGAACTGAACAAGGGGCCGAAGGGAACAAGTGCATTCACGGAGTCTCATCCCCTCACGAGTGAATGCAATAAGGTTCAGAGACAAACAGATATCCCTGTACCCTTATTCTCAGCAGCTTCCCATATACACAAGTAGACGCAGAATGAGAGATTACAGACCAAGACAGGGCCACAGACAGCCACTAAGATATCTAATGGAGTGCAGGTACAGGTGGAAAAAAGTATGTACAGGTACAAAACAGATAAGACACAACACTCGACAGATACAAGACTTGTCCACATGTCTGCCTACACACGGGTCACTCACTAATTGCAAATTGCTTCTGCGCTCGGCAGAAGCTCCTACATCTTGCTAACGCCACACAAGTGCTCGTGCCCGCATGTTCCTCCATGATCCTTCTTCTCGGCGGCTTCGTATTCTTCTTGACCTCCGTAATTTCCCGCTTTGGATCGACGGCCCACACGTCAGGTGATGCGCCAGCCACGTGGAGAATGAAGACGCCCTCCCCTTCAGAGGCAAAAGAAGGTGCGATTGCACGCTCCTTCCTCTTGCCCATCGCACGCATCCGTCGACCTGGCAAGATGTCAACGTAAAAGTTCTCGTTCCGCTTCAGATCAAACTCGCGTCGTTGAATCCGGTTAAGCCCAGGCGGGTAAGCCATCCCAGCATCTCCCGTGGCGACGTCAAGGTAGGGCGGTGTGCCCCATAGTTGCTCCTCTTCTCCATCGTCATCGTCACTTGCCATGATGCCTCCGCTACTTCGGCTTTCTGCTGCTGCATTTACTCGTTTCGTCACCGCTTCCCTCTCCTCCCTTATCTTCTCCACCTGTGCTTTCGTTGTGTCCTGGACCAAAACGTCTTCCTTCGGCAGGCAGTCGCAGTGCACCGGTCGAGGGGTCGAGGGAGGGATCACACGATCCTTCCTGAGTGTCTGGAGCTGCGCGTTGGGCAGGATGGCAAAATGGGACGAAACACTTCTGTCGAGGTATTCAAGACACTCGGAGCCGTTACAAAGCCTGCCGCAAGGCCTGAAGTCCTCTCTGCACCGTTTTTGGTCTTCTCTCGGAAGCGACTGGTAGTTGAGATATACCTGCTCGCCGTTCTGAAAGACAAGAAGCATTTTACAGAGCTGTTGGATGTCTGTTGAGGTCCGAATGCACGTACCAGGCCGTGTCGCGGTGGCGGCATGACCTTCATAAGATCGATGACAGACTGGAGAAAATTGCGGGAGAAAGCTGACTGTCGCCACATCATCACACTGCAGGCACGTAGCGAGCAAAGAGGGTGGACATGTCGCCCACTCTTCCAGCTTACCCTGAATTGAAGAACCATGCAGTGACGTCTGACGTTAGGATGGCATCTTTGTCCGGATTTTCAGCTATGAAGTCCTCCAATCGCTTCTCACAGTCCATGAAGAGCGTATCCTGAATTGGCAACGCCGTGTGGAAGGGCAGTGAGCAGCCCGCCTGCTTACCGCATCTTTCCACACAACCCACTCGAGGTCCATGTCTGGATCGGTGAGCAAGTTAAAAATGGCCTCCAGCTTGGCACGATACGCACCCCCTGAGGCAGTCACCGTACAGATGTGATCGTGGCTCATTCGTTCTGTGTCTTGCGTGTGCCCACGGTTGCCGAGCTGTGGAGCGCTGACATCCAAGGTAATACTCTCATAACCATGGAGTGCCGCGTACCTGTGGGGCATTGTTTGAGGGGGCTTCCACCTGATCCGTGCTTGCATCGAACTTACATTCGTTGGTTCTCGAAAGCAATTTCGAGATAGTCAGGCCTGGAGTAGTCTGGTGTCGAACGAAAGGCACCCGTTACAATGGCTATTTTCGACGGTTTCGTTGCTCTTGACGCTTTGCCGCTCGCAGGCGCCGAATCACCGGCTATGTCGACAGATGGGGAGCAAATCCATTCTCCATTGTTACGGATCCCCTCCTTACTATCATTGAGCTGTGCGATGCCGCCGGCCGCCGTTGGCTTCGGTATGATCGCTCGAATGGATGAGGGCTTCGGCACGGGAAACTGATCTTGCGGCAGCAGGCTTGCCAGCATCGTCAAGCAGGCGTCTGGACGTCGTTCTGGCCTCCTTGGAGATATTTCATGCGAAGAGGGGGACGACGAAAGGCTCAACGTGGACAGGACAATCGAAGCGTCTTCGTGCGAGACATAGACTCCTGCTAGGTACGGGCATGTCCGTCGTACGGGCCTGTCCGTCTCGTCGTAACTGCATGCTGAATGCTAGTGGCGGTGCTGCGTACCTGTCTGGTTGTCGCTCGCCAAACGTGCAATCACCCAATTTAGCGCAACATCCTCGCAATCCATCTCACGACTTATCACGTCAAGCAGAGCCCTGTGGCACCACATGCAGCATAGCAGAAGGAGCCGGATGGAACGGAAACGTGTTCGCGTGGCTGTGATGCATACCTCGGCAAGACGCGTGAGAAGGCCATGAGCAATGAGGTGGGCACCATAGCAAGCCCAGGAAGCAGCAAAGAGGCCCTCTCAGAGGCCACCTCATAGCTGTAGGCAAGCCCCGTTTACTGTTTTGATTGTCTTGTTTTATCCTTACCTGTACGTCGGAACGTCGGCACCGTCACACTCTATCATGGATCCTCCCAGTCCTTCGAAAGACACCAGTTTGTCAGGGAAACGGATCGCGGCAGAGACTAGGTACCGCACGAGAGCTGGAAGCATCAAAATAAAGGAAGAATGAGGGGTAAATGGTCATGTATAGCTTCCTTACGGCAATCAATGGTTCGGTCGTCGTCGAGAAGCAAAACAAGGGGTGTCCTGACGGCCGCCTTTGAAAAGGACCACCGCTCTGCTGTGCGTCGCCTTCCGAGTAGCAGACGCAGCTTTCTCGGCGAGGAAATGGGGAGTGATGCTAAGTCGACGGCTACTCTCCTCCCTTTCGGATCTCCATCTGACTGCCAGTCGATCAGGACTTCCTTGACCTCTGGACATGACTGCGCACTAGGGAGCGATCGTCTCAACCATGGGCCGGCACTTTCAGGCGTCGACGTGAGCAGAATGGTTACAATATCCTGTGCGTACGGAGGAAATCTGATCAGAGGGATGTGAAAATGCTGGCATATTCACACCTTGGACACAGTATCCGGAAGGGTTCTGTTCAAAATAACCAACTCAACAGAAGCTTCGTGACCTGGCTCGTCTTTGACATACTCCACCAGACATTCTCCTGGTTCCCATTCTTCGAGAGGGGGGATGTCCTGCACATGCTTGAACGTCTCCTCATTTTCATCTGTGTCTCCTTCATCCCCTTCTTCGTCCTCTTCCGGCTCCTCTCCGAAGAGCGACGACAGTAAGCCTCCCACGCCTCCCAGGAGATCACTGTCAACGCCAGACACATGAAGAGAAGGCTCCGCCGAAGGGTGCCGGTGTCCACCAAGCCGACGAGGTATCAAGCCAGGTGTCACAATACCATGAAGCGCGAGGCCAATGAGCACCAGACCTATCGCCAACGTACTTAGCGACCCCACCACCCTGTGAGGAAAGCTTCTGCTCTGATTCTCCCTCATCCAGTTGGTTTTCTGCTCGCCCTATCACTGAGCAGAAAAACGCCAGTCGGAGCGACTGCCCTTGTCAACGACTGTCTCACGATAGACACAAACAAACGAATGGACGAACGACCGAACGGCGAACGATGAACGAACGCACGAACACACGAACACACTTGACACACCTAGCTGCTGCTCACAACTGGTCTGAATCTGCCGGTGCCGATGATGGGAATCAAGGACGAAACAACGAAAAACGAACGAAACAACTGCTGCACACGGGATGCCGGCAATCGGCGATGAGGTCAGGATGATTCCCCCGTGGGCCGTCTTGTGGCGGAGATGACGAGACACGGATCACCTCAGCCGCGGGATGTCCGAACGGACGCTGCAGCAGCCACGATAGAGGGCGGGAGAAGATGGAAGGTGCCTCTATATGCCGTGTTCTTGAACGCTTTGGCTGTCCAGATCGCCGATGGCACGAAGATGATCAGCACGAAGGGTCATCCGCACGAATCATGGCACGCTGCGTGAGATCACGCAGCGCCCTCTCTTCTGACGACTCGCAGCATTCACGGCACAACCGGCCACATGCAGGGTCTCAAGAAGGCACACAAACGCGTGATCTCACAAGGCACGAAACTCCAACGAATACTCAGACAGGATACACAGAAGAGGGGGGCGCTACCCTGGGCTACTTGACCGAACGACGCCGAAAAGCTTTTAACGCCCCCTACATGCATTCTAGCTCGCAGCTCCCGCTTATCTACGCCACAGTCTTGTGTAGGGTTCGTGGGGTTTGTCTGCGGCGATCTTCTACGGCGATACTGTAGCGGTGCGGCTGTGATGGCCAAAGACCCCATGATAAGCCAACAGCACACCACATACAGTGCGTGTCTGTCTGATCCGATCTGAGTGTCCTCTCGATGCATCGATGTGTCCATCCGAGCATCTGTAGCCAGTCAGGGTGTCTAGTGGTAGAATTTGGGTGTGTTCGAGCCCCAGCGGGGTCAGCTGAGGAACGCATGCGCTCGTGTGGCCAGCCAGGGTTGCCAAGCCTGGCCTATCGGCCTGTGTGTGTCCGTATGGGTGTTGTATGCATGATGACATACACTGTGCATGGATCCATGCAAGGAGCAATCAATGAAGGGCTGCGCCTTCAGATACACACGTATATGGACACAAGTCTGTCGTCCACACCATGTATCCCATCCGTCAGTAGTCGCAACACGCGCACCACCATCGATGACCAATCTAGCCATCAGCAGATGGACGATAAGGGAAGAGAGAACCCACTCGCCCACGGCGCAGTCGGGTCAGGAATGCACACGACGACGCAGTTCGTTTCATGAGAGACCGACAGACTCTGCCTGCCGTTGCGCTATGAGTTAACGTATGTCACACATGCACACGGCGAACATGTGCCCACGGCACCATGAAACGCCAGATCTCCGTCGCCATCGTGTGCACCAGGCACCACGATGCTCAGATCCGCCATCCCGGCATGTGCTCCACGCACCATGATCAAGACCTCCTCCAGAACGCCTCACAAACGTGGCAGGGACTCATAGATCTGACGGAGAAAGCACTCCGTGCTGTCGGCTGACCTCTCATGGCCCTCCAGCGCCCTCTCCCTCATCGACGACTAGCCTGCACACCACACAAACACGACCCGCACACAGCCATCGAAGGAGGAAGTACATCTCTCCAACGCTGACCGACCACCTCAGCCAGGGAACTACAGTCCGGACCGCGTAAGTGGGTCAGTACACAGCTGGCCCACTTACGCGTCTGACCCGCTTATGCGTACGTACAGAGCTGACCCACTTATTTTCCAGCGACTTTTGAAGTGATTTCTCGCTGTGAATGAATCACAAGAGCCTCGCAGAAGCCCATTGACTCTTTTTTTTTCTCTTGCTCAAAGTCACTCAAAACGACGAAAAACCGGTCTGTTCTCTCATTCATTCAATCAGTCCTTGGATGGCTGCGAAAGCCCTTGGATGTCTCCGAATGTTTGATTCATCGTTGATCTCCACACACGCCACGCAAAGTGATGCAGCCTGAGTGATTTTGCAAGAAGATTCGTCGTCGACACATGCACTTGGCGTCATCAACGGTGTCTAAGGGCCCATGATGGCACTAAAGGCTGTCGCGCCATAGCATGTCGCTGCCTATATGATTGGTCCTTGGTTTTGGCCCATCGTATCCACGCTATGTTTTGATGGTGTTTGATGCGATATTGGCCATGGCTCAGTGCAGTGGGCCGAGCTCCAAGCTACCGTTACACGGTGCTGTAGCTCGCAGTCCTCGCTTGACCATGGCGGATATCGCACTACGCCTGGGCATCGTGCACTACGTCACAGGTACAGACACGTACACCGCATGATCTCTACTACACACCCGCACATCGCTCTCCTATGTCGGTTGGCTTCAGAGTGCCTTTGGTGCGTATTCGCTGCGTCATGCGGATGGACTGCCATCGTTCGTGGGTCGTAGCTCACTTGTCGGTATGGACCTACACTCCACCTACTCGCTGAGCCACGTCCATGCTCCCTTCTGGCTTGTATTGCATCTCATGGTGTGTGCAGGTTGGTTTGTGTGTATCTGTGGTCTTGGTTGTCGTTTGGGTGCTCGAGACACACTACCTCCGTCTGTTGGTACGCACCTACACGTGTGATGCGGACCATCTGGCTCATCACTCACTGTGTGTCTTTGGTGGTACAGGGTATCATGTTTCGTTGTGCCTGACGGGCAGTACATCCTGCGGGGTTCGTTATCCATCACGTATGGTACGTTGCCTGCACACACACGCCATCTCGTGTGGCACCCACCATCCATCTCTCTCTCTCTCTGTGGATGTTTGGCTGGTGGTGCAGGGTGACTGTATGTTGGTCATGGGTTATGTTGGTTGACTGGGATGAGCATACAAGTACGTCCCTCGCCCCTCCCCCATACATACACTTGTATGGTCCATCCTCACCTCTGTTGTGTGTGGTTGGTGTCATGTGTGTGGTATGGTGGTGGTGCAGTTTTGCGTCGTGACATTCGTTGGACTTCTGCGTGTTATTCACTACACGGTGTTGGTGACCGTTGATCGTTACGTCAGCCTTTCGGCACTCCCGAAACGTTCACTCACCGGCACACACATCGACTATACCGATTTCGACAAAGGCATGAACAGCAAGCATAACAGGAAGCAAATCACATAAATCATGCCGCCCCGCCGCCTGCAGC